ATACATGGATAAACAGTTTAAGCAGACTATTATACGATCAAACAACCCAGAAATATGTCTGCATGGGTACAGCAGACAGGATCTATTAGAAGCGCATAAAGAAGACTGTAGAGGTGTTGGACAGACTGCTTTCAGGATCAATATGCCTAAAGAGGGAGAAAATATATTAAAATTTTAACATTATTGTAATCAAAACCAGAACCGTATGTAATTTACGCTGACTTCGAAGCACTTATCAAACCTATAGAAGCCACAGAACGCAATACTGATAGTAGTTTTACATACAAAACTCAAGAACATATTCCTTGTGGGTTTGGATATATAGTTGTAAGGTATGATTGGAAAACAAACCCGCCCGTGATTAATAGAGGTCCCGATGCAGCGGGAAAGTTCCTAGAATATCTACAAAATGAAGAGAGAATAATCAGGGAAAAATTATCGCGTAAGAAACCCATGTGTATGATGAGGGATGATTGGAGGGCCTATAAGAAGTCAACGAGTTGTCATGTTTGTAATAAACCCCATAATTGGGATTCCGTAAGAGATCGTTGCCACGTCACGGGTAATTATCAGGGAGCCGCGCATAATGAGTGAAACTTGAAACTAAAAATGAAGTCTCAAACAATACCCATCCCCGTTGTGTTTCATAACTTTAGAGGATGCGATTCCCATCTCATTATGTAAGCTATCTCAAAGACCGACGGCGGCTTAACGTGCATTCCTAATAATATGGAAAAATATATATCATTCTCGTTGACTAAAACTATACATTATACGGACAAGGATGGGAAAGCCAGAGTAAAGCAAAGTAATGGACTTAGATTCATAGACTCCGTACAGTTTCTGTTATCTTCCCTGGACAACTTAGCTAATGGGAACAATCCTGATGACTTTGCGATAACAAATCAATATACCGATCGGTTAACTCGTCATTTGTTGCTTAGAAAAGGTGTATATCCTTACGAATAGATGATTGGTCTAGATTCAATGAAACTAAATTACCACCCCTTGAATCATTCTATAGTAACTTAACAGAATCTAAAATAACTGATGCTGATTATGAACACGCTCTGACGGTGTGGGATAAATTAGGTTGTAAGAATTTAGGTGATTATCACGATCTGTACTTAAAAACCGATGTACTGTTACTCGCCAATATATTCGAGATATTTAGAAAGACATGTTTAAAACAATACGGCTGGGACCCGGCATGGTACTATTCCAGTCCCGGACTATCGTGGGATGCATTGGTGAAGAAGACCAGTTTAGAACTAAAAGCACTCACTGATTACGATATGCACTTGTTTATTGAGAAAGAATTAAGAGGTGGTATATCAATGGTAGTGAAAAGGTATTCTAAGGCTAATAATAAATTAGTGGAAGGATATGATTCGAGTAAACCCAATACGCACATATTATATCTAGACGCCAACAATTTGTACGGATGGGCTATGAGTCAACCTTAACCCACGAGTGGTTTTGAGTTGGTCGATGTGAATGATATCGAAGTGAATGATATCCCCTCAGATTCCGATAAAGGGTACATACTAGAAGTTGACTTGGAATATCCAACTTCGTTGCACAAAGATCATAACAGTTATCCGCTAGCTCCCGAAAGATTAATGGTGAATAAAGATTGGATGTCGGAATATCAACACTCCTTGATGGGTAATACTAGGTTAAAGTTTGATCAAAGCCCTTGGATGGAGCCCTATATAAGGTTGAACACATATTTAAGAAAGATAGCTACCAGCGATTTCGAAAAGAATCTATATAAGCTCATGAATAACTCAGTATTGGTAAAACTATGGAGAATCTAAGGAAGTGTGTTGATGTTAAATTAGTCAGATCTAACGAGGAAGAAAGACTCAGGAAACTTATAGCCAGTCTGGCTTTTAACAGAAGCAAGATATTTTTTATAACGACTTAGCCGCGTTGTATATGCAGAAGAGTAATATAAAATTCAACAGACCAGTGTACGTTGGTATGAGTATTCTTGACTTGTCAAAACACTTAATGTATGACTTTTATTACAACAAACTTAAGAAGCAATACGGCAATAGATGTGAGGTGTTATATACCGACACAGATGCTTTGTTGATGGAAATACAAACCGAGAATGTGTATAAAGATATGGCAGAAAAAATAGATATGTACGACACGAGCGATTACCCAAAAGATAATCCACTGCACAGCGTAGTAAATAAAAAGGTATTAGGTAAGATGAAGGATGAATGCGCTGGGACTCCTATAGCGGAGTATGTCGGATTAACACCTAAGATGTATTCTATAAAGAAGTCCGATAATGGAGAGATAAGAAAAGCTAAGGGTGTTAAGAAGTATGTAGTAAAAATGCATATCAAACACGAACAGTATAAAGAAGCATTATTCAACGGTAGAACATTCAAACACGAGATGAACTCTTTAAGAAGTTACAATCACAGGATATATGGATTAAGAATGAACAAGACATCATTATCCCCCTTAGATACAAAGAGATGGATTGATAAGGATGGTGTAACTACCTATGCTTATGGTTATTTAGGGTGGTATTACAGTATCGTTGGGAACTATGAGCAACTCTTCTCGTACAAATGCCCTGCCCGATCCATCTTTAAGATAATAAAGAATAGGCTCTCCTTCTTTCATAACCAACCGACTAATGTTATATGTCTTGAGGGACCAAATCGGATTGGTTGCGTGACGTAGGCCTCCTTCGAGTTCACCAGGCTGGTATAAATATCTTACGCTTACTCTATACGGAAGTTTTTGTTCTTTGCCTCTCCTCGGTGATGAAGATTCTGAAGTCACAGATTTCATTTTATCCCATCGGATGGTTTCTTCCCGATTAATCTTGTTACTTCATTATTCAGCGCTGATACAACAGCTGATAATCGTGTCACCCATTCGGTTGATCTTAATCGATCCGATTTCATTTCGATCCCATACTGATATCCAAAACAAACGTTCCGCTAATGTCCGGTTAAATCTTTCAATGATAGCTTGACTACGGTGGGCCTCTTTTTCACCACGCCTGATTGCGACATCGTGCTTTGTTAACAGTTTAGTTACTGATAGCATAAACTCGCGACCAGGATCTACTTGAAACAACTTGGGCCATTTTAGTGGTCCGCGTTTATATATGCGGCTCAGTGCATTAGCTACTTCTGTTGAATCTTTCGAGGTTAATGGCTCAGCCTCTTTGTATCGACTAGCCACATCCACTACGGTTAAAGCGTATTTATACGTTTTGCATCTTACCTTATCATGGGGAAGAAACAAGAGGTCAGCCTGATGAACTTCATTTGTTGTAAAAATATCAAACTTCATCCTCAGTATAAAACGCAGTGCCGGTAAGTATATTTGCCACATCGCTTGTTTCTTTAACCAATCCTTGGCCACATCTTTAGATACCTTAGCCAAGGGTGGCTAATTTTTGTATTGCTCCTATACCTTTCCAATATCCTCGTGGGCTATAGTAAATTATATCCATTATTAATTAATGTTGATGTTTCTTTTAATGCGAATCATGACGATCATTAAATCGCATCATAATTTTGACATAAAAATTCCCCCTGTAGTAGCAGTATAGGTATATAAATCTGGCTCCAGTGGAAGTGAGCCAGACCCCCCATCATCTATACTACTAAGAGGTTATCACGCTTGTGTGTTTGGGGATGGTAAATATCCTGTATTTGGAATAAACAGTATGTATTTAGCTCGCCAAGGCTTGCTAAATACAATGTTTATTCCTAATGCAGGATATTTACCATCCCCAAACACACTCGCGTGATAACCTCTATTTATTACACCCAAACAGGATGTGAGGAATAAAATGGAGGATTGTTAATTGTTATATTAATTATTCACCATGTCAAGGTCAAGGGTGACTTTTCACCAATTCAACAATGTATGCAATGTTGTTATTTTTGTAGGATTAACAGAAATAGCAGAAACAGAATATGTTTAACTGCCAAAAATCATTATCAGCCAATGAAAACGTTTGTCACGCACCACTGCACTGGAACCTTTAGGCCACACCCCCAAATAAGTTTGTTTTGGAAGCTGATTGTGGAGCGTGTGATTTGTATCTAGGAAAACAGGTATTCAAAAACAAAAACACAATCGTTTTATTTCAGATCATTTGGAGCTTCACCTTGGCAAATCAGATACTAGTACATGACGTAGGTGACATCATTGGGTACAGTGGTATCATATTATTACTGTATATAATCATGTTATTTACTTATATATATCTAATGTTTGTCAGTTTATTTATGAGAAAATGTCCTGGTGTAGGTTACATGACATGTTACTTATGGTCATGTCAAAAGGCATCTTCAGAAATATTCAAACCTGACTAGATACTGATCATAGAAACTATGTGATCATATAAGATTCTAATAATTGTTGTTAAGCTATAATAGTAATGTTTTTTTGTGTATTAGAAATATTATGTGATTAAACTGACATCTGAACTTCAACCTGCATTTGTGATACATTCACTAAACCCCTTCGGTTACTCATACTCATTGAAGGTAGGTCACTATGACCTGTCATCACTTGTCACACACAGGAATTCAAAAAATGCAACAATGACATGCATAACACATAAAAACATATCTGCAGAAATAGGCATTTTAGTCAAAATGGCAAACATACTTTAAAGATGACCTTCACTGTGACCTTAGAAATAAATGACTTTAATAAGTAAAAGTGAGCTAACAATTTGTTATTAATAATCAAACAATTATAATAGGGCTTCAGGCTTTCTGGCTTGGAATCCTAAATATGTAGGTAATAGCTGCGCACCCAATGGGATCTTTGCTTCATGTTTGTTACACAGGTGTCAAAACAAAGGTAATGTATTCTAAGACATTGGCATATTCATAAACCTAAAATCTTGCAATTTCTATAAAGTCTACAGTGTTGTGAAACACTGTAGATCCATCATCAAGTAACTAGTTGAACACAGAGTCAGACAGAAGAGAGTCACCTGCCTGGAATGTGAAACAGGAAGCGGTCTCCTACGGCTCTGATTTGACGACCTTTCTCCAGGATGACTTTGGCCATGATGTAGTACACATCAATGGGGATGACTCCATGGTAATAGATGACCAGGGCAGGTCCGGAGTCAGGTATCTCATGCAGACCCACAACCTCGTAGCCTGAAACAATACACCATGTGTCACTTAGTCCTAACTGTAAACCATTATTTATCAAGAATTTATCCAGATGTGTAGTCAACAATCTAAAATGTCAAGGAAGAGATCCACTCGGCCAAAGTCACGGTGCCAATGACCACAGGTGTGAATTGTGTATCGTGTATGTGGTTGTCCTGTATTGTGTCTCTTTGGAACTTAAGGAACATGAGGTTTGATCCATTGATTCCATAAATAAAGAGTCTTCGGTTATGTAAATTTGAAAAAAGTGGTCAGAAATCATCAGGAATGATTGTCATTTGATGGATGATTTCCTGATGCGGTTTTATCCCAGAAACACTGCTGATGGTTTGGTTGAATTGCAAGCAGTGTAGTCATTGATCAGTTTGACCAAGCTTCATCAAGATGGGTTTACTGTTCCATATCTATGTAGTTCTGCAAGTTACTTCTTCACTTCGATCCTATAGCACAGAACCCCGACCGTGCCTCTTCCATCTCCAGGGTGCCCCTTTCCCTTGGTTATCGCTCAGAGTTAACTGTTCTTGATCTCTCACTAATTTCTCATCAGCACTCAACGTGATATCCAGATGGGGGTTGGACAGGTATTCCTGAGACTTGTGTCATGATAAGTATACTTCATTCATTAATATTAATATGGGTGTCTGCTGCTTGTGATATTGGTAACCCATCAATCATGACCAGTGTCCACATGATCATTGATTCATCCCAGGCTCTCAAGTAGTTATGTGAACGTACAGCACACTACACCATTTCATTAATTTACATGACCCTCATATTGCCTGCAGGGACCCTTAAAATTAATCATTGGAGGTATACATAATATTTTATCAAGATCACGTGGTGCTGGGATAGAAGGTGCGACCGGTGTGGATAATGGTGTCCAAACAGGATTCTCGACTGGCCTTAGCTGGGGTTGGCTGAGTATACAGTACTTGTACAAAGTCAGGTACAGCACTCTTCTGCCTCTCCAGACAGGTGTACCTCCTCCACTACGGCACTGTGGGAGGGTAGAATCATCTCTGCTGTTTTCGAGTAGGGACATGTTGATTTATCTTTCCATGCATGGGAACGAAGAGAGTCATATGCCTCTGTTAAAGTGGTTCCTGCTGATGTCCAGGGGGCCTTATGAGTTGGCTGGTTGGTTATGAGCCTTGGCCACCAGGTCCTCTTGCAATCCAAGGCATTGTGGGTTAATCCCACCTGGTCTAGTTTCAAGTCGTCAGGTACCATTCAACTTGAATGGGAGGTAGTCTGACAATGTAGTCTTTCTAGTTGACTTTGACTTAAGGAGTCCAAGGTGACTTGGAGTTTGCAAACTTCTCTTTTGAGAGTGGGCAGCAAAACAAACATCTTTTTCCAGAAGTGCACATGATTTTACTGCACCTATGGCACGTAGGACAAGGGTACCCAATAATCTGGTTGAAACTGCACATATACCAATCTTTGGTACTTTCTGGGTAGGTATCTGCCTTGATTTATAATCTACTATCACTGGAATGTCTGGTCCAGACTCGATTATTTACAGGCCGCTGTCACATAGCTGGAATATTGCTGAGTGCAGCTTTAAACAAGAAACAAATATAATCTACAAAGGTTCAGTGTGATAATGCAAACTAAAGCATGTCTAAGAAGGTGTTCACTTCAGCACATGCAGCATCTTCCCGAGGCAAGTGAGTTAACCTTTTGCTATTTAGAAATTTTTATTTTTTACTTTTCCATGGCAACAAGATGGACTTAGGTTCTGTGAGGGTAGGGTTCGTTTCCGGAGCATTACTCATAAACCATTCAATATTTTTTCATGAAACTTTGCAGGTCTGTCAGGTACATGCCATCTTCCCGAGGCAAGGGAGTTAACTAACTATAAAAGTCCAGTTTCCACCCTTGCCGAACTAGGCTGGGATTATGGAGTTCCATTTTGGCTGGACTTACGAGTCTTTGCATAGTCCAATCAAAATTGTGCTCCGAAATCGAAATCCGGTTGTAAACTGTCATGCAGATTTCGGTCGATTGCAGGATTTGCTAAGCATGTGCACCGCTAACTCGTTGTCAACAGATATTTTCTAAATCTTTTCATGTTTTTAATCAAGGTGCTCACGTGATTTGATGCACTTTGCGATGTAAGACAATATATAGATCTTGATTATCGATCAGATCATCTTGACTGGGCGCCACCGTTTTGTTTGAAGCAAATGCATTGATACAAGAGGTGGAATCTGATTGGTCCAAGGGTGGAAACTGGACTTTTAAACTTGGGAAGATGCACATTCAGGTGAGGTGAGGTGAGGCGAGGTGAAAAGAGGTTTAAAGTTGTGTTCAACAATTTGCACTTATATAGCGATGTGCATGTATGTATGTGTGTGGCTGCTTGTACTTATAGTGCTAGCCCACTGAAATACCATGCTGCAGTTTAATTCCGAGTTGGCCAGTCCATGTTTTAGCCCCTTAATGCCAAGTGCCAGGCAGGGTAACATCAGGTACCATCTTTATAAGTCTTTTAGTATGAAGTAGCTAGGGATCCAACCCACCATCTTCCACTCTCCGGCTAGATACTCTATCCACTAGACCACGGAGGCGGTCTCAGCACACTCAGGAAAGAAGTGTCATTTTCCACCTTGCGCATGCACAGCTGCATTGACCTACATATATCTACATAGGTATCTGGCAGGGAAGAAGAGGTCTGTAAAGGATTTTATAGTGTGATGTAATAGAGGTAGGGTATTCGAAGGAATTATGAACTTTTAAGAAGGATTATCTTTCAACCAAACTCAAACAACCAATAAACACATACCATGCCAAATTCTACCTTGTCCATCCCACAAGGCTGCAAGAGTTTTCCTTGCTCCATCCCAGAAGTCATGAGCATAGGCATCTCTGAGTCTGTGTCTCTGCCTGTACACAAGCAGAAACAGGACTGAGGCATAGAGGAACACGAGGAGGATCAGTGGCAGCAGGAACGAAATAATGATAGGGTAGGTCAGCCATACTACCCAGCGTAAGTAATCAATGTCCAGTTGGCCAACTTGCTGCAGAATATAATCCACACACACAGTCAAGTTGTACATCTCACATCCTCAAGCCCACCATCCACCAACCTAAAACATACAAAATACTCAACATTATATATAATATATAGTTGTATGATGTATTATATGGTTGTATAATGTATAATGTACATATCACCTGAGGTAAAGGCCATCTGATATCTACTGTTAGTGTTCAATACACAATATGACACATCGAACATGAGCACTCAGTTGTCTTGTTAGAGTGACATTAATCATCAATAACCAAACAAAAATGCATTCTTAAACTTGTGTCAAACTTGCAAGAACTCAAGTACATGACAATACCGCTAACTGAATCGTCCAATTCACTTCACATAGTAAACATGTCTTCCTAATGTATTTGTCAATGTTTGAAATAAGGAATAAAAAAGAAAGGGTCTCCAATAACAGATATTGTTACAGCATGTTTATTAAATTACACAATGATACATGCACATTGTGTGGTATATTTACATTCGAGTGTACTGGAAGTGACCTCTGAACTTGACTACATGTGCGCATGCATGAGCGGAAGCTCAGGGGCAGATGGGAAAATAGCAGAGGAAGTAGCGTGCTTAAGAATGGCGGGGATTTGACATGAACTGTCAGTGGTGTGTTGAGTGAGAGAAGGACTAACCATTGCTAACAGTGGAAAGGGCCAAAAAAGTAATTAACAGATATATGCAGATGACTAAAGTTACATGTTTGAATCATGACTACCACAGCACTTTTGGCAGACATAGGATTATATGAAGGTCACAGTTGTGACAATATCACAATGCTCAACAAAACGTAACATAATTACTGTGAATAAAAAAACATTTGTATATGCACATATGACTGAGCAATGGATGATTATTACATTTTCGAATGAAATCCATGTCAGATCAGAATTTTGCGACTATATTTTAGAGACCACATTGCTAGGATCATAAACATAAAATTTCTGCTGCAGAATAATTTGATGAATGTGTCTACTTCAAGATTAAAGGTTGTATAGGGTCATATACTGTTCCACATACCACATACTTACTGCAGATCAAATGCAGAGAGGTTAAAGAGTGAACTCATGGTGTCTGCAGGTATTCTGCAAAAACAGTCATGTTGCCCATATTGCCTCAAGGAATCTCAAGTCTTAAAACACCACTACTTACTTTCTGTCCAACCAGACAACCATGTTTCACAATAACCTCAAAACTCTAAACTGACAATGAGGTAACCATGTTTTAAAAAATCTGAAAGCTGACCTTGACCTTTGAGTAACTTTGATTGAAGCTTTTCCAAAAGAGGGCCCCATCTTATGGAAGGCATGTAAAAGGAGAGCCCAACCATGATGGACTGCGTTGATGGAGTTGGTGTATTTTTCGGCATAATCTGTTCTGAGATTCCCACACATCTGACAATGATGTTGGAGTGCCTGTATCCCACTGGTGTAAGAGGCTTCCTCTTGGTGGTGTAAAACATCCTCCACAGCATGTCATCACTTTTTCCACAATGCTTGCCAAGCAGTTCTTTCTTAAGGTGTATGATTTCTTTCAAAGTGAGGCAGCCATTAATAAATACTTGAAACAAGCTTCTAAATCTCTTGGTATGTCTCTAAAGCTGAAAAATGTTGTCCCTCGAAGGGATGGGTAAAGCAGGTAATGCAGGCAGTATGTCTCTTAACAAGCTTCTAAAGCTCTTGGTATGTCTCTTAACAAGCTTCTAAAGCTCTTGGTATGTCTCTTAACAAGCTTCTAAAGCTCTTGGTATGTCTCTTAACAAGCTTCTAAAGCTCTTGGTATATCTCTTAACAAGCTTCTAAAGCTCTTGGTACGTTTCTTAACAAGCTTCTAAAGCTCTTGGTATGTCTCTTAACAAGCTTCTAAAGCTCTTGGTATGTCTCTTAACAAGCTTCTAAAGCTCTTGGTATATCTCTTAACAAGCTTCTAAAGCTCTTGGTATGTCTCTTAACAAGCTTCTAAAGCTCATGGTATGTCTCTTAACAAGCTTCTAAAGCTCTTGGTATGTTGTCTATTGATGGGACGGGATCAACACATCAAAACAGTCCCCTCTTTAGGTGAAATCATCAGCAGTGACACAAGCAATTCCGACAACGAGGGCTGTGAAATGAGCGAGTCAGATTGCGATGAAAACTATCTTGATACAACCCCTCTTATGCTGTCCTTTCCTGTACTGTTGTTTAGCATGTGTGTATTTGGGCTGTTCCTCCTTCTGTTGTGCCCCCTTCTGTTGTGCCCCCTCCATTCCAGATGTCAACTTGTATAAATAACAACATCACAGTTTCTAAAACAACTTTTTCCAATGATCAATGGTGATGGGAATAAAAAATAATAAACAGCAGATATATTTTGGTACAGGGAGTAGTATAGACAATGACAGTTCTGGACCACTTCCACTGGAGCCAGATTTATATACCTATGCCGCCACTACAGAGGGAATTTTTTATGTCAAAATGATGATGCAATTCAACAATCGTCATGATTCGTATTAAAAGTATAATCAATATTGATTAATAATGGATAAAATTTACTATAGCCCACGAGGATATTGGAAAGGTAAAGGAGCAATACAAAAATTAGCAACTGCGGCTAAGATATCTAAAGATGCGGCCAAGGATTGGCTAAAGAAACAAGCCATATGGCAAATATACTTACCGGCACCGCGTTATATACTGAGGAAGAAGTTTGATATTTTTACAATGAATGAAGTTCATCAGGCTGACCTCTTGTTTCTTCCCCATGATAAGGTAAGACGCAAAACGTATAAATACGCTTTAACCGTAGTGGATGTGGCTAGTCGCTACAAGGAGGCTGGGCCATTTACCTCGAAAGATTCAACAGAAGTAGCTAATGCACTGAGCCGCATTTATAAACGCGGACCACTAAAATGGCCCACGGTCTTTCAAGTAGATCCTGGTCACGAGTTTATGGGATCAGTAACTAAACTATTAACAAAGCATGATGTCGCAATCAGGCGTGGTGAAAAAGAGGCCCACCGTAGTCAAGCTATCATTGAAAGATTTAACCGGACATTAGCGGAACGCTTGTTTGGCTATCAGTATGGGATCGAAATGAAATCGGAATGATTAAGATCAACCGAATGGGTAACACAATTATCAGCTGTTGTGTCAGCGCTGAATAATGAAGTAACGAGATTAATCGGGAAGAAACCATCCGATGCAATTAAAATGAAATCTATGACTTCCGAATCTTCAGCACCGAGGGGAGGTAAAGAACAAAAACTTCCGTATAGAGTAAGCGTAAGATATTTATACCAGCCCGGTGAACTCGAAGGAGGCCTACGTCGCGCAACCGATCCGATTTGGTCCCTTAAGATATATAACATTAGTCGGTTGGTTATGAAAGAAGGAGAGCCTATTCTTTATTATCTTAAAGATTGACTGGGCAGGGCATTTGTACGAGAAGAGTTGCTCATAGTTCCCAAATATACAGTATTACCACCATAAAAATAAGCATAGGTAGTTACACCATCCTTATCAATCCATCTCTTTGTATCTAAGGGGGATAATGATGTCTTGTTCATTCTTAATCCATATATCCTGTGATTGTAACTTCTTAAAGAGTTCATCACGTGTTTGAATGTTCTACCATTGAATTATGCTTCTTTATACTGTTCAAGTTTGATATGTATTTTTACCACATACTTCTTAACCCCTTTAGCTTTTCTTATCTCTCCATTATCGGACTTCTTTATAGAAAACATCTTAGGTCTTAATCAGACATTCTTCGCAATAGGGGTCCCAGCACATTCATCCTTCATCTTACCTAACACCTTTTTATTTACGTACTACGCTGTGCAGTGGATTATCTTTTGGGTAATTGCTTGTGTCGTATATATCTATTTTTTCTGCCATATCTTTATGTCGGTATATAACACCTCACATCTATCGTCAGGAATACTCATACCAACGTACACCAGTCTGTTGAATTTTATATTACTCTTCTGCATATGTAGAGCGGCTAAGTCGTTATAAAAAATATCTTGCTTCTGTTAAAAGCCGGACTGGCTATAAGTTTCCTGAGTCTTTCTTCCTCATTAGACTAATTTAACATCAACACGCTTCCTTAGATTCTCCATAGTTTTACCAATACTGAGTTATTCATGAGCTTATATTGGTTCTTCTTGAAATCGCTGGTAGCCATCTTTCTTAAATATGTGTTCAACCTTATATTGGGCTCCATCCAAGGGCTGTGATCAAACTTTAGAACTCTGAGTATTTTCTTTAGTTTCATACCTAACGATAGATATAACTGGAGATTTCTGTAGTGAACTATATATTTTGTCTTATCCATCAAATTTGGTAGGAGTTTTTCTACGTTAGCTAACCTAGTATTACCCATCAAGGAGTGTTGATATTCCGACATCCAATCTTTATTCACCATTAATCTTTCAGGAGCTAGCGGATAACTGTTATGGTCTTTATGCAACGAAGTTGGATATTCCAAGTCAACTTCTAGTATGTATCCTTTATCAGAATCTGTGGGGATCGATATCACATCGATATCATTCACATCAACCCATTCAAAACAACCCTTGGATAAAGGTTATACCACCTCTTAATCCTTTCTCAACAAACAAGTGCATATCGTAATCGGTGAGTAGTTTTAGTTCTAAACCAGTCTTCTTCAACAATGCATCCCACGATAGTCCGGGACTGGAATAGTACCATGCCGGATCCAAACCGTATTGTTTTAAACATGTCTTTCTAGAGTAACAGTACATCGGTTTTTAAGTACAGATCATGATAATCACCTAAATTCTTACAACTTAATTTATCCCACACCGTCAGAGCATGTTCATAATCGGCATCGGTTATTTTAGATTCTGTTAAGTTACTATAGAAGGATTCAAGGGGTGGTAATTTAGTTTCATCGAATCTAGACCAATCATCCATATATTCGTAAGGATATACACCTTTTCTCAGCAACAAATGACGAGTTAATCGATCGGTATATTGATTTGTTATTGCAAAGTCATTGGGATTGTTCGCATTAGCTATATTGTCCAGGGAAGATAACAGAAACTGTACGGAGTCTATGAATCTAAGTCCATTACTTTGCTTTGTTCTGGCTTTCCCATCCTTGTCCGTATAATGTATAGTTTTAGTCAACGAGAATGAGATGTATTTTTCCATATTATTAGGAATGCACGTTAAACCTCTGTCGGTCTTTGAGATAGCTTGCATAATGAGATGAGAATCATATCCTCTAAGGTTATGAAACACAACGGGGACGGATATTGTTTGAGAATTCATTTTTAGTTTCAAGTTACACTCGTTATGGGCGGCTCCTCGATAATTACCCATAACGTGGCAATGATCTCTTACGGAATTCCCATTCAGGGATTTATTACAAACATGACAAATCGTTGACTTCTTATAGACCCGCCAATCATCCTTCGTCATACACATGGGTTTCTTACGCGAGAATTTTTCCCTGATTATTCTCTCTTCGTTTTGTAGGAATTCTAGGAACTTTCCTGCTGCATCGGGACCTCTGTAAATCACGGGCGGGTTTGTATTCCCATCATACCTTACAACTATATATCCAAACCCGCAAGGAATATGTTCTTGAGTTTTGTATGTAAAACTACATTCAGTATTGTGTTCGGTATTTTCTATTGGTTTGATAAGCGCTTCGAAGTCAGCGTAAATTACGTACAGTACTGGCATTTGATTACAATAATGTTCAAATTTTAAAATATTTTTTCCCTCTTTAGGCATATTGATCCTGATAGCAGTCTGTCCAACACCTCTTCAGTCTTCTTTATGCGCTACTAATAGATCTTGTCTGCTGAACCCATACAAGCATCTTTCGCAGAAATATTTCTTTCCATCATGTTTTGTTTGATCGCATCATAGTCTGCTTAATCTCTTTATCCATGTATAATGATATTTATCATCTTTTTCGATTAGAAATAAATTGATTCTGGGAATATGTTCTGGGGCGGAGCTTATCCTATGTACAACAATTCCTTTAGAAGAATGTCCGAAAACATTTGTAGCTAAATTATTTTGCTTTTCCACCTTATCAATTTGTGAGATTGGTGTAGGTTCGTCTATACCATCAAAGTTGAGTCCATCATTTTGGGGATAGCTCGAAGGTCTATCCGGATGTTTGTTTGTGGGGAGCAATGCAGATCTTATCGTAATTCTTATACAGCCATCGCCTTTATTTTTTACATTAACTATAGCTTTTTTCTATACGGGGGTAAATCTATATAAGATCCACCTTTGAAAGGCATATAATTTGCTATATTTAAATATAAACTATCGATTTTATCTACAACCCAACCCGAACCTCTATTAGTCCAGCGTTCTAAAGTTTCTTGTATCCGTTGAATTGATGTATCTAATGATGTGTTTAGAGTATCAGATTCAGTTATAACTTCTTGATTGCTCCAGAAATAAGGTTTGATACATTCAGTGTCATTTTTACTCAATGACATTTTAACCGTTAGCTGGTATTTTATACTATTTAAATCATCTAACTCCTTGTTAATTTTGCTCGATATGATGGGCTTAACATCATTAACATCCATGTTGGAATTAATATCCATCTTCCAACCTCTTAGATGTTTACCCACACCGTCTGTGGCTACAAATCTTAACTCATCATCTGGTTGATTTTTATCAATAACCAGTTTATTTTTTTCTAGTAAATCAATCAATTCAGCTTTTCTTATTCGAGAATAACCTCTCAACCCAGTGTTTTTTGCTCAAGCTTTGAGTACTGTAACTGCCTGCGGTTTGTTGTATTCCAAACTGAGTAAATCAATCAATTCAGCTTTTCTCATTCGAGAATAACAATGTAGTCCACGTTGTTTTGACAAAGCTTTCAGCTCTCTGACGAAAACCATTGTGGTATATACAAAATAAATCAAATGTCTAAATGATTATATTTCCATATATCTTATTCTCCCCAACCTATTCCTCTCGTTGATGTAATCTCTCTTCCTAGCATAAATAATCTGCTTCCTAACCCTATCAGCACCGTGTTTCTTACTTAAACAACGACGACATTTGACATCTATCCCCCATACAGAACACATATAATTTACGTTTCCTTGTCTGATGGAAAAAGCATGAGTACCACAATATATACCAACGCATGGTTTCTGACATTGAATTGACTTCCCCATAAGTGTATATCTGCACGGATTCATGATTATACACCTATCATATCATCTGTCTAAATGCATAATAACGTAGCTAAATATGGACACACCAGTCAACCCCAAAACTATAAACGCCCTCTCGCGGTCTTTCTGAGCCTCTGACGGTGTATTAAACTGAGAGAGTGTTGGCCTTGACATTGGGTCAAGTTTCTTTCCATAAACAAGGAAGTGTTCGTGCATGGCAGATTCAACATCCTTAAACGTTTGAATTGAATGTCTTTGTTTACTCAGTTCATCATTAAAAAAATCTAATCTCTCCATTCTGCGCCTGGCCCATTGTGACTTGGCTGCTTCGAGTTGTTCTAATGCTTTATTATGTCTTTTCTGCTCCTCTCCTTTCATACTAGAAAATAAATAATTACTCCCCGAAAAAGCTAGAGCATTGACAACAGCTCTACCGACAATCATCACAATTGATGCCATACTATGTTTATAAAATAGTCAAATGTTTAATTACTTCATTATGTCTTCTGG